GGGGGGCCGGCGGGGGCGGGTATGGGGCATGGCTCAGCGGGGGGCCGGCGGAGGCGGGCATGGGGCTCGGCTCAGCGGCGTCCCACCCCCCCTAACCCCGTGCCCCCCAGCGGCAGTGTGTGGAGTACGCGCTGAAGGCCCAGCCGCTGCGGCGCTACATCCCCAAGAACCGGCACCAGCACCGGGTGTGGGCGGCCGTGAACTGCTCGGCCTTCGAGTACGGCATGTTCCTGCTCATCCTGCTCAACACCATCGCGCTGGCCGTGCAGGTGCTGCCCGTGGGCGGGGCGGGGTGGGGCGGGGCCTGGCCTGGGGGGCGGGGCCTGGCTGGGGGGCAGGGCCTGGCTGGGGGGTGGGGGCTGTGCTTTCATCTGGGGAGGGGGCATGGCCTGGCTGTCTGGAGGCGGGGCCTGGCCTGGGGGCGGGGCCTCACTGGGGGAGGGGCCTGTGCTTTCATCTGGGGAGGGGGCGTGGCCTGGTTGTCTGGGGGCGGGGCTTGTCTCTCTGTCAGGGCAGGGGGCAGCGCCGGGCCCCCCTCACCCTGCGCCCCCCCCCCCAGCACTACGAGCAGTCGCAGCCCTTCAACTACGTCATGGACCTGCTCAACATGGTCTTCACCGGCCTCTTCACCGTGGAGATGGTGCTGAAAATCATCGCATTCAAACCCCGGGTAGGCGGGGCTGGGAGCTGGGGGCGGGGCCTGCTGGGGGGGGCACCTGGCGCAGTGTAGGTTGGGGCTGGACACAACAGGGGCGGGGCCTGGCATGATGGGGGTGGGGCCAGGCACAACAGGGGCGGGGCATTGTGTGAGGGGGCGGGGCCTGGCAAGACGGGGAGTGGGGGGCAGGGACATTCCCCCATGGCTGACCCCCCCGCCCCCTTCCCAGCACTATTTCTGCGACGCCTGGAACACCTTCGACGCGCTGATCGTGGTGGGCAGCGTGGTGGACATCGCCGTCACCGAGGTCAATGTAAGCACTCCCCCTTCCCCCCAAATCCAGGGCGGGTACCCCGGCATCCGGGCCACACCCCAGCACTGGAGAATCAGCCCCCGCCTGGGCCCAGAAGGGTCCCCGCGTGATCGGCCTCCGCCCCCCGCCCCGGAGGGGTCCCCGTGTGAACCGCCCCCTGCCCCGGAGGGGTCCCCGTGAGATCGGCCCCCGCCCTGGAGGGGTCCCCGCGTGAACGTCCCCCGCGCCCCGCCCCGGAGGGGTCCCCTTGAGATCGGCCCCCGCCCCGGAGGGGTCCCCGTGTGAACCGCCCCCCGCCCCGGAGGAGTCCCCGCGTGATCGGCCCCCACGCCCCGCCCCGGAGGGGTCCCCGTGTGAACCGTCCCCCGCCCCGGAGGGGTCCCCGTGAGATCGGCCCCCGCCCCGGAGGGGTCCCCGCGTGAACGTCCCCCGCCCTGGAGGGGTCCCCGTGTGAACCGCCCCCCGCCCCGGAGGAGTCCCCGTGAGATCGGCCCCCACCCCGGAGGGTTCCCCGTGAGATCGGCCCCCACCCCGGAGGAGTCCCCGCGTGATCGGCCCCCACGCCCCGCCCTGGAGGGGTCCCCACGTGAACGGCCTCCGCGCCCCATACCAGGGGGCTGCGTGTCGCAGCGCCAGGCCAGCGGTCCTGGCGTAAAATGTTCGGGAATCCACAGGGGTGGAACATGATGGAGAAATACCCGCCCCTCGGTCCCCCCACACACACACCCATCCTCTGTCCGTCCCCCCCAAACCCCATCTGTCTGTCCATCCATCCCCCCACGTCGCTGTCTGTCTCTCATCTCTCCCGGGGCGGACGCCGCGTCTCATGGCTTCATCCTCCTCCTCCTCCTCATCGTCATCATCACAACTCCATGTCCCCACTAGAATGGCGGCCATGTCGGAGAGGTAACGCCCCAGATCCCCGCCCCACGGGACTGGGGGGCCAGAGCCAGATGAGGCTCTGGAGGTGGACGAGATGGGGGGGTGAAGAGGGGATGTCGGAGGGAGTTGTGGGGTAGCTGTGGGGCCTGGCGTGGGGGTCAGCAAGGGGCTGGCGTGGGGGTCGGGGGGGTGTCGAAGCCGGCGTGGGGGTCAGTGAGGCGGCTGGTGGGGGGGTTGGCGAGGCAGCTGGCATGGGGGTCGGCGGGGGGTCGGCATGCGGGTCAGCGAGGGGGCTGCCATGGGGCGCCATGACCCACCCCGCCCCGCCCCACCCCACAGAGCTCGGAGGACAGCTCCCGCATCTCCATCACCTTCTTCCGCCTCTTCCGCGTCATGCGCCTGGTGAAGTTGCTCAGCAAAGGCGAAGGGATCCGCACCCTGCTCTGGACCTTCATCAAGTCCTTCCAGGTGGGACGGCGCCCGCGGGGGGCGGGGGGACCCCCGGGCAGGACCGAGGGGGTGTCCCGGAGTCCAGCCCCCCGTTCTCACCACGCCTCCCGCAGCCGGAGGGGCCCTGGCCCCCCACTCCACAGCCCGCGTGGGACACCGAGCAAAGTCCATCTGGGGGGGACCCCGGGCCTGGGGCCCCTGAACCCCCCCCCTCCCCGAGTCCCAAACTGGAGCCTGTGACCCGGCCCCAGACCCGCCGGTTCCCCTCCTTTCCCGGGCAGCAGGTCGCCTGGGCTGCACCAGCACCTCCGGCTGGGACCCCAGCCCTCTGTTGCCAGGAGATGGGGTGTCGGCCACTGTTGGGGCCCAGGCAGCCACTCAGGTCACACCTGCCCTCTAGGGGTCGCTGCACCAATCACACACGCTCATCCCCCCACCTAGGGACTTGAGTAACACGGAGGGGAAACTGAGGCACGCACATGGTGTTGAGAGGAAACATTAAGACCGTTCCCACTCCGTCACATGGATGAGGGCTGTACACCCGGGAGGTTGTGGGGGTACACCCAGGGGGGGATGGGGTTAGGGTTATGGGGGTACACTCATGGGGGGAGCAGGGGATACACCCAGGAGGTTATGGGGATAAACCCATGGGGGTATGGGGGTACAGCCAGGGGTATGGGGTGTACAGCCGGGGGGTTATGGGGGTACACCTGTGGGAGGGGCCTTCACGCTCCTTGCCTGCTGGATTCCCCCAGAGACAACCCTTCCCAGCATGCATTGCGTGGCACCGCTGGGGGCCGCCCAGATGGAGCAATGCATGCTGGGTGCCGGGGTTGGCTGGAGCTGGGCATGCTGGGAGCAGCCCTGGTGGACTCAGCAGGGGCTGGATGGGGGGGCAGTGACCCCACCATATTCTGACCCCCCCCCCGTGTCTCTCCACAGGCCCTGCCCTACGTTGCCCTGCTGATCGCCATGATCTTCTTCATCTACGCCGTCATCGGCATGCAGGTGAGCGGGGGAGGAGCCTCACATGGCTGTGCCTGTGCAACGCACACACTAGTGCACTGGCCCATGTGGGCCTTGCACGCCCCAAGTGTGAACTGCTGGGGGTGCCTCTGAGACACGCCTGAGTGCAAGTCATGCACTTGTGCAAGCCTGCAGCTGGGCAACACACTACCCTGCGTGTGCAACATGCACCCTTGTGCATGGCTCTGATCATGCACCAAAGCACGTGTGGCACATTTGTGCAAGGCTAGGACCGAGCGAGAAACGCTGGAGCATACACTGCAGACTTGCACACACCTCTGAGTCTGCAGCCCATTCGTGAGCATGCGTCACATACTTGTGCATGGCTCTGATTGTGCGACATGCACTCGAGGGTATCTCTGGCACACGCACATTGTGCTGTGTCTGCCTGTGCAAGGTGGAGTGTGCCTCGCATACCCAGTTCTGGGCCACACTAGAATCTATCACGATCAGACCCATGGGTGCTTGTGCAGGCCCCGAGTGTGCAACACATGCACACGCGTGTGCCTCGACGTGCACCCTGTGCTTAGGGCTCCAGTCATGCGTCGTACACGGGTCTCTGCCTGGCACGCAGGGGCGAGGAGCTCAGGAGAGCTAACCTGCGGGGCAGCGGGGAGCAGGAAGGGTGGGGGTGCCGGGGTGCCGCGGGGGGCAATGGCCTCTTTTGGGGTGCCCCGCCCCCGGTGACGTCCCGGGCTGTTTCAGACCTTCGGCAAAGTGGCGCTGCAGGACGGGACGCAGATCAACCGCAACAACAACTTCCAGACGTTCCCCCAGGCTGTGCTGCTGCTCTTCAGGTACCCGACGCCCCAACTCC